CTTTCAGAATGTTAACATTTAATACTTTTTTTTTTTTTTTTTTTTTCGTAACATAGCTTTTTGCACATTTGGAGAGTAGAGTGCGGCGAGGCCCGTTGGACAGCCTGAGATGCCCGTGGGCCTTTTGTACCCAGACCGAAGGCTTAGTTGTGATAAGCCCGGGACGTTTGCCGGTGGGGCGAAACTACCTGTTGCTTCCAGTTCTTTGCACTGTACCTTCTTCAAGGTACTGGTGGTGATGCTCCCCACCAATAGATGGAGCCCCTCCCTGGGTGGTAGCGGTGTCTGCTCTTATCAGCGCCACTATCACCAGTGGGAGGTGTTTTGTTTGAAAAAAAAAAAAAAAAAGCACTGGTGCTGTGTTCACCCTTGGACGCAGGGGGGTGAAGCTGCTCTCGGAGAGCGTAGCAGCCACCACGCTGAACGCACATTACGGAGCTTATATTAAACACTTTTTTTTCTCTTTTTTTTTTTTTTTGTCATAGAAGCTCCGTAATGTACGTTCAGCGCTACTACGGGGTGACTTCTTTTTTTTTTTGTTTTTTGGAACATTTCTCGATTTATGCGTGTCATCCTTGCGCAGGGGCCTGGGCCGACTAGCACTCGTTTTAAACGTGAGACAGTGCTGCGTGACCCGCTTTTGGCATTAAAAAAATGGTTTCTGCATTTTTTTCAGATTAAAAAAACTCTCTTTCTTCTAGATAAAGAAAGCAGAATTCAGCTTAGGGTGCTCCCGTCAGCTAATGGGATGGGAGCCGTCGAATTCATCGCCTCTTTTTCTGGAGGCATGCTGGACTCAGCCAATGGGCTGCATCCAGTACTTCGTACACACCACTTCATTTTTCTCTTCTCAAGACGTGAAGTACTGTAGCTGCGATGAGGGTTTTTTTTTTTTTTTTTTGACCTGAAAAGATGAAGAGTTTATTCTATTGGCATTGTCAAATGATTTCCCCATCCCTTAAACCCAGATTCCCGTAAAACCTGCCTCTACACTTCGGTCCCATCAACCAAGGTTCTAACAAAATGCCTGAGGACTTGACTTTCAAAAATCTGACGCTCTGACCCCAAGTTCTGAAGAACTGATCCCAGGCTGCCCTCTTGGAACGGGCTCTATGAGTTTTCCTCCAGTCTGACCAAACCAGGGACCTCACCCTTTCCAGGATTAAATTCATGATTGCTGTGTCAGAGTAGAACTTAGATCTGAAAACTCTGTCGTTCCTCATATTCCCTATGGCTTGCATAATCGCCGCCCTGCACGCAGCAGCCACATTACTCCACCCTCTGTTCACCTTCTCTTCATTAGGGATGATTCCTTCTAAGACAAACCTTTCATCCCATTGAACCTGATCTTCCACATTCTTCTCCCATAGCTTGGCCCACCAAACCCAAATTGTGACTTCTCCACAGTTTCCTCAGGGCGAAAGAGGAGACCGACCCCTTAAATTGTGACCTCTCCCTTGACTACATTTGCCAGTGATTTGTGACAATAAGGGGGAGGTTCCATGACTTGGACTGAACTTGATTACCCACTGACGGAGCATAATCAAGCAAACAGACTGTCCTGGATGGTTCTAACAACTTCCATTCCCAATGTAGAGGGAGTGTCTTCAACCTGTTTGCCGCTCTCACCCCTAGTGGACAAACATGTTTTACAGTGTCCTTGCCTAGTTTAGTAGACCGTACTACTATGGACACCACTCTTTGCAGGGTGACTACTCTCTCCTCGGTTTCTACTAACCTCCGACAGACTGTGTTGTCCACCTCAGACACTTGGTAAGGGAAGACAATAGCCTGCCCCTGATCCAGCCTCCCGAGCACTTTCCATACTTCCTTAGGCTCTATACCCCCTTCTTGTACTACCCACTGTCCCTCATAGGCGGGAACAGGATTCGCTAGGATATCCTTCCCTGATTGTGGAATACTCCCCAGGATATTATTGACTCTTTCCGGGACTGACCGCAGGTGGTGCAGATTTGTCCTTAGCTCCACCGTGGGCCTCCAATGTCCCAACTCCGTATTCCAGAGGTCTGAAATTCTTGAGATCCCCCTTTGGATCCAGCTTTTCCCAAAATGACCCGTTTCCTCCCCTGCAGACCAAGGAGCACCTGAACTGTCACAGATAAAAATGTTTTCAAAGATATGCTGGGCTAACACCTCCTCCCTCGTCTGTGGTTTCTTCATCAGTATCGGCAACAAATGGAACCACGCTAGGAGGATGTCTTTCCAGACTGTCGATTTCATCGGTCCTTTAACCAAAGAGGGAGTAAGTAAGGTCACCCATACGTCCTCCTTTTGACAGAGACCCCACTCTTTCATGAGTGCCCCGGCTGCCAACTGAACCCATGGGTGTCTAGAATCCTCAGTGAGGAGCTTGATCACCCATCTGGCTAGCAAGGCGTTAACCTGCATTTTTGGGTCCTTGATTCCTAGCCCCCCATCCGCCAATCCTCCAACCACTTTTTTCCAGGCTAATTTTGCTACATAGCCTACCTCCTCATTATCCGATCCTTTCCATAGGTACCTAGTGGCCGCCGACCTGATTCTACCATATGATTTACCATCCAACCTTCTAATTGAACTTGGATACCAAACCTGCGAGAAAACCAAGGTGTTCACAAATAAGGCCCGTCCGAAGATGGACGTACCCTTGACCGCTGATACCTTGCTGATTTTTGCCAGGACCGCTCGCTCCACGAGGCTGCTTGCCTCTTTCTTGCTGTCGAGAATCCTCACCTGTACCCCCAAAAAACGCTCACAATCTCCCACAGGTAAGCACTTCAACCCCCAATTCAAAGCCAAAGGAGTATCGTCTCTGACAATTGCGACGGATTTGGGCCAATTGACAAGGGCTTCCGAAAATTTAGAGTATAGGTCAAGACAATATTTGAGGGCACCCAGAGATTCCTTGGTATTAGCAGATAGTGCGAAAAGGTCGTCAGCCATGGCCGACGCCTTGCACTGTTCCCCGTTGGGAAGGCAGAGGCCTTGGATATCTGTGTTTTTTCTAATCAAAGATAAAAACACTTTCATTTGGATAACGAATAGCATGGGAGCGAGCGGACAACCCTGTCGGAGGGACCGGGTGAGCGAAAACGGGCACAAAATTTCCCCATTTATCATTACCATACCTACCCCCTGCATGTAAAGGGCCTTGACCCAGTTGAAAAATGACTCGCCAAATTCCGCTAGCCGTAGGGTATCCAGCACAAATTGCCAATTAACCCTGTCGTATGCTTTTTCCAGATCCAACAGGAGGGCTGCCACTTCGGGTTGGTCCTCTTTCATGCATTCTAATGACTCTATTGTTAGCATGACATTGTTCAGGATGTTCCTACCTTGTACGAAGCCAGCCTGCTCTTGTCCTATGAGCCCTGACAAGTACCTTTTGAGCCTATTGGCCAAGGTCTTGGCTAGCAATTTATAGGACGTGTTGAGAAGTGAAATAGGACGCCAGATCCGTATATTTCTTTTGTCTCCCTTCTTGTGTAGCAGTGATATGACCCCCGTTCTCATGTCCTCCCCTAGCTCTTGACCCTGCAAAACATTATTAAAAATGCCTACCAGCACCGGGCCCAGAACTTCCCAAACACAAGCATAATACTCTACCGGTAGCCCGTCACTGCCCGGGCATTTCCCTTTTTGCATGGTTTTTAATGTCTGGCCTAGTTCCTCAATGGTGATTGGGCGATCCAAATCCAGCTTACCATGGGACGGAAGGCGGGAGTCGAAGGACTCCCACAGGATCATTTGTAACTCCTCATCTCCCGGGTCAGGGCACGGTGGACGAGAGGAAGTGAGGATGTTCATAAAGTAGAGTCTCGCGTATTCAAGAATAGACTTGGTGTCTCTAGCTCTCGGTTCGAAGGCATCAAAGGGGTGGTCTAACTCAATGATTAGCGAGGACCCTTTGCGCTTGGACAGGCGTTTGAAATTATCCTTTGTCATCCTATCCCCCACGTCTAGCCACTCGATCTTAGCCCTTTCCGCCCATACTTTTTCTTTCTCAATTTGAATATTCTCTAGCTTGTCTTTCCATTCATTTTTGTAGGACCACCAGAACTCGCTGAACTGTGGTGATAGCTCCATGTTACTTTCCGCCCATTCTATGTGAGAGATACACTTCTCCTCTTCCTTGCGCCTGGACAAAGCCCTGATCCTGGAGGCAAAGCTAAAATCCGCCTTGGCCATCCTGTTGGCTGCTTCCAACCAGTCAGAATATGAGTCATAGAAGTGTCTTAATTCTCCTAGCTTAAGCAGGGACTTCCTGATTGAGACTACTAACCCCCTGTCCTGTAGAATTTTTGTATTCAGTCTATAGTACCCTCTCCCCCTAATAATGTGTCCATCCGGTACAAATGTAACCAGCACCCGTCTGCGGTCCGAGAGGGCTTGAAATGGCATGGACACTTCCATCGCCCATTCCGCTGCCCTGTCTCTCACTAGAAAAAAATCCAGTCTTAGTTTTGTGTAGGACTTGTCTTGTCTGGGGGTATTGGACGTCCAAGTAAACTCGGATACTTGAGGGTGAAGTACTCTAAACGGGTCTGACAGTTTCATGCTTTCTACAAACTTTCCCAAGGCAATGGTGTGACTCCTGATGGGATCTGCCGCTGATGAGTCGAGGGCTGGGTCCAGGATCGTGTTCCAGTCCCCCCCAATAACCATATTTCTGCTCTCTGGTAGCACTTTTGGAAGAACTTCAAAAAACTGGATCTTTTACCGCCTGTCCACGGGCGCATAGACCGACACAAAGGTCCATTCAATGCCTTCAATAAAGACTGTTACCCAGGACCAGCGACCCAGCGAGTCGGAGAACTCATCCACAACTATCGGGTTGAGGTCCTTGTGGAACAATATGCCTGTTCCCCCCTTCGTTCCCTCTGCTGGGGCCAAAAACTGGGGCCCTTGCCACTTCCAATTAGCCTCTAGTATTTTATCCTCGTTGAGTTTAGTCTCCTAGAGTAGAATGACCTGAACCCTGCACCGATGGATCCATGATTTAAAACGTGCCCATTTCATTTTATCATTAGAGTCCCCCAGACCCCTGACATTCCAGGAGGCCACCCTCAACTTATTCATTGACCTTGTCTTGCCCTGCGTTCTGGATCAGGGAGAAGTCTTCTGGTGGGAAGGTGGAGACCGTCTCCCCTTCTGCCGTTCCTACTGTTACGATCAGAGAAGATCTGAGAACAGGGGAGGGGCTTCTGGTACCAAGTGTGGTCTTCCTCTTCCTGTCATCCCTTATGTCTGACCCATTTCCTTTCCCTTGCCATGGCAGGGACAGCAGTCTGTCAAAATAACTGGAGAAGAGATTAGTATCCGCTAACAATTGCTGGTTGTATTCCACTAGAACGTCACCCGAGATTCCTTCCGCCGTGTAGACCATGTTAGCGCGCAGGAGGTTCTCGTATTTGACCCATTCCAGCAGGCACCAACCCCCTTTGTTCTGGGCTATGTCAGCGAGGTCCGCCTCGCTGGGTCTAACGTCGAAAGGGGCCAGGAACAGCTGGACTTTGCTGTGATCGTTCCCTGTCCGCTGTATTTTCCTAGTACCCATACCAGGAATTGTTTTATCAGGGGCGTTCATGCCCAGGTAGTTCCTCACTTTAGCCATCATGACAGACTGCGTGGGGCTGCTATCAACCAGTTTTCGGGTGATGAGCTTGATATCCGTGCCCATATTGTATGTAAGGAAAAATATACCTGCCTGAGTTTTCCTACAGATGAGGGGGACCAGGTACTTGGAACCCTGGTTCCTGCCCACTGTCGGTGTCTGACGCGGTTTCCTAACCTTCCCAGGAGATAGTGTTCTACCTCTTTTCTCTTTGGACGGACCTTCTTCGTCCGTCGACCCCTCAGAGTCCGCTGGCACACTCCCTACCCTACATACTGACATTGTTTGAGCCCTCCCGTCCTCAGGCCTGTTAACCTCTATTGGATCTAACTGCTGATCCAGCCCTGTTGTGTCCATCAGCCTATCTGTGTCCTCGGAGTCTGTTGCATCCCCGGACTCGTGTACCTTCGCGGCCTCCTTCTCTCCCGAGACTTTTGTTGAAACCGTGTCCGGCGCTGATACCCCTGTGTACGAGAGTGTCTTGCCCCCGTTGGGAAGAACTGGAGTCTGAGAGTTAGAGCTCAGAGTTCCGCCCCGAGTTAGTTTCTCGTGATCCACTGAACCAGCTCCCTGTGCTGCCGGGTGAGTGGTCCCCATACCCCCTTCTATTGCTGAGGTATTTAAAATCTGCGATTTGACGGGTTCTTGTACTTTGCGCTTGTTAAGACTTCCCTTATCCGATGGGATACTTGCAGTAGCCTGCGTCCCCTCTGGAGACTCTTCCGGTATCGCAGTTGGATTTGCCTCTGGAGCAGTCTGAGCTCGCCCCTGTGCTCTCTTCGTTACACTAACCGGTTCAGACAGCGGGTCAGCGATTGAAGTGGTTGAAGAGGTCCCCGAGTTTGGATTGGGACTCAATTGTGCAGGGTTGGTGGTGTGAGGAACGGCGGACAGGGGAAAACCTCCCTCGTTCCCGTTGCTCATCTTTGTTTGCTGGTTTGGGGGCAAGACTCCTCCAGAGGCAACAACAACGTTACGAGAAATTCCTGCCCTGTTCGTGGATGGGACCGTCCATGGGTCTCCCTTCGAGGGTGACAGTTCTCTGGATGTGTCTTGCCTATGCCTCTGATCCTGTGTGCTTCCTGTGTGGGCACCAGGCTGAAACACCCCTCTTGCCTGATAACCCGTCTGGGGTCTCTGTGGAATTCCAGTGTGGGAATTATAACCACCTGGATTTCTTCCCTCATTGCTGGCAGAACCGAAAGCAAACTGCGGTCTTTGTGCGGCAGACTGAGGAAGGGGTGCCTGGAACTGCTGGGATGGGCCTGCCACCCAACCCGCGCCTGCTCTCAATCCTCCCTTCCCTCTCACTGAGGTTGCTCCCATTGCTCCGAACGAGAGGTCTCCCTGGGTCGGTCTATGGCGGAAGGTGTTGATTTCGATTGTTTGTGGACACGCCTTAGTGGAGTGTCCGTACTCACGACAAAGAGAGCACCAGTCGGTCATCTGTATCACTACCTGGATTGTAATGATTGTGCCATTGTTCTGTGGCCAGTCTAGGAACTCCGGGACTCTGTCTTTTTTGTCCCGGGGTATATCGAACTTCAGATTGTTGAGCTTTGGGGATTCCTCATATCTCTCGGGGGGGTATTGTTTAGCACTTTTCCCCACCGCAAATTCAATCTGAGAGCGAACGAACGGCGCTGCCAGCCAGGGAACCCGCAATGCCATAATCCAAATCTTGCTGACTTCTTCAGTTGTTTTCGCTAACTCCAGTTCAGCAGGAGACATCCACTTTTTGAAGGTAAGCTTGTACGCATTGCCATTGATTTTGATTTTGTGACTTTTCATATTCAACAACAGCTCAATCAGCTTTTTGTCCCGGGGGAAGTAGGACATGACATTCCTGCCCTCCTGGTGCACTCTACCTCTCTCTTTGTGATGCATACTTTGTGGTAGAATGGAATCCTCCAGACTCCTAATACATTGCTCTTTTTTGTCTGCAGACACCGATTTAAAGTTCCCCTGGAAGAACACTACCACTGCATTGTCCTTCATCCAATTTACCTGTGCTTGTTCTATTTCAGGGGGTACAGTCATACTGACTGTGTTCCCCTTTCTCTCAAATTTGGCAAATTTTGACATGTCCGGGATAACCATTCTGTCGAAGCATTCATCCAGCATCCTCCTGACCTCTTCCACCTCACTAGCTATGCCTCCTGATGCTCCTTCTCCCCTTTCGGCCTTCCCTGTTCTGTCTGCAGTTGTTCCCGAAACTCCTCCTCCTTCTTCTTCGCTAACCGAGTCCAGCTCTTCTGACGGGAACCAATCTACCTTGGAGAAGGAGATATGACGAGAACCTTCCCCAACAGTTGATTTATCAGCTCCCCCGATTTTTTGGAAGCCCCGGCCTCCATTCCCTTTCGGTCCCTCTCCTCTCCCTCGTGGCCCCCCCGACCGGTCCTGGACCTGAGCTGTATCATCCCGTATATTTGAATTTGTTTTACTCGTATCCCGTGACTGGCTTGCCCAGAAGGGTGTGAAGCCCCCCAAGACAGCCCCTGCTGGTGATTGCCAGTATCCAAGTTTTCCCCATCAGCTGGACCCGCTTTCGGGTTGGGGCCAACAGCTGATCCTTCTTTTGCAGTCTGGTCAGATTCGTGTGGAATCGGAGCGTGTCGGTCCATGTCTGTATCATCCATTTGCATTTGCATATCGTCCCACCCGAGTCTGTCCGTCTATTTACTAAGACGTGCGGGTGCGTGTTCTTTCCCTGCACCGTGCGTGCAACTACCACATCCACAATCGGCTCATTTATTGCCTATATCCCGTAAAAAGGCTCCGTTCCAACACCACAGTGCAGAGAGTGAAACAGTTTTCACCTTTGAAAGTAGCCGATGCAGATCCCAGGGGTCGATCCCTTGACCTCAGCTTACCTGTGTACAGTATCTGCACAGTTCCCTGGAGTTGAACCCGTGACCTG